GCATCCAGTTCCTCCAAGTGCCTCTGCACCATCTCAGGGTCTACGCATGGCAGTCTGGTGCCTTGCTGCTGCCTCTCTACAATCCCAGTGAGAGCCTTGTCCTGCCCCTCACTTAGGAACACTGAGGCAAAGAAATCGTTGAGAAGTTCAGCCTTGTCACCCCTGTCCGTCACCAATTCCTTCTGCCCCATTTAATAGGGGTCCTATTCCACCCTGGGCCTTCCTTTTACTCCCTATATATCTAAAAAACAATTTTTTGTTATCTTTAACTTGTGTTGCCATCCTCAGCTCCATGGTAGCTTTGGCCTGTCTAACTGCCTCCCTACAAGCGTGAGCAGAGGAGGTATACTCCTCTTTGGTAATCTCTCCCCGTTTCCACTTTTTATATGCTCCCCTTTTAGTCCACAGGCTGCCCTGGATTTCTCTGGTCAGCCAAGGAAGCCTGCTGGCCCCTTTCCCTCTTTTTCCTCGCATCGGGATCGTCTCCCTCTGTGCCCGAAGGATCATTTCCTTAAGGCACATCCACCCTTCCTGGGCTCCCATCTCTTCAAAACTCCTACTCTGCAGTGTGTCCTTGACTAATCGCCTGAGTTCATTGAAATCAGCTTTCCTAAAGTCTAGCACTTTCACCCTACTAGTTACCTTACCCACTCTACGTCTTATGATGAATTCTATTATTTGGTGATCACTGTCCCCCAGGTGACTACCAGGCTGTAGGTCCTCTACCATATCATCCCCCGTTGCCAATACCAGGTCCAGCTGGTACTGTAGGGGGATGAAAAACACACATTTTACCAGCTCGTTTCAGCTGATATTTGCAAACAGCATAGGAATGGTGAGGCTTGGGGTATTTTGTGTTCCGCACATTCTGGAAAAATTTGGTTAATGGACTCTTCTGACCTTTCCCCATGAAGCTGGGCCCTTTCTGACCTTTTCTTATCTTGTCTTTCCACCCAGAAGATCCCACCAGATCCTTTTCCCAATCTGTGCTCCATCTGTACCTTCTTATTCATTTCTGTTCTTCTTGATTAGCTAGGTGCAGTCTCTTTATGTGCTTTCCTTAAAGCTTCTTGTCCATCTTCAAACACCTAGTCTGGTTCTTGTTCTGTCTGCCTTCAGATCAGACTGTTTTTTCCTCCATGTCTTGGCTCCAAAAGTAGGGGCACTAAAAAGACAGAAGAGCCAGTTTCTCTGTGCCTCATACCCCAATAGCTGTAAACAGCAATTGCAGAGAAAGTATTTCTCAATGCCTGTAGACATGTGCTTAGAGTGTGCTCTATGCAGATTGAATCCTTGGAGAGTTTAGCTTCTGAACTATATAACTAGTCTCTACTGAGTGGGAGAGACTTGAGATTATTTTTCAATGGTCTTGAAGTTTGACCAAACCTGTATGGTTATTTGCAGTGAAAGAAAAGGTCTGTCTTTCACATGAGGGTGCCCCACTACACATCGCCACCCATAAGTGAATCTCTAAGACCTTCTTAAAGGAGGCTCTGAGCTTCTAAAAAAAAACCCTGTACATTTTTAAGAGGGTGAAGAAAATTATTTTTCTCCTTATCTCTTTTTCAGAAACAGCTGAGACATATGCCCTAAAACTAAAAAAAGAAGAGAGAGTGAGAAAAAATCAAGCCGAGGTAGGTGCTTGAAATCGGCAGTTCAGCATTTTGCCCTGGAATGGTTAATGTGGCAGTAATGAGGTTCCATCATGGGAGATGTTGGATGACCAACAATGTTGCGAGTTCTCCCTATAATTAATGAACTTTATGAACTATGTGAAAACTGGTGATTTTTAAAAAATGCATATCTAATATATTACTACGAATAGTGTCTTTGCTGGTCACAGAGCTCAAAATAAGCATTTTCTGATTATTTCACTATTTTGGTGGGTCCTGAGTCTGAGATTAAGTTTTTTTCATATACTTATTAATATTTAAATAAAACTCCTGCTAGATATTTCCTTTTATAATAGGTTAATACATGGAGAATAATGATGGATCATTTAATGTTGGCTGAAAGATAATCATAAGGGAGTCATATTAATGTATTACAGTTTAAAATATTCTAAGACCTAGAAGACCATTTTAAATGAGTTCAGTTTTATCCTTCTTTTTTTATTCCTCCATGTTATTTCTTTTTTGCTCTTCAAAAAGAGAAGACAGAAACAATAATCAGGTTCTCTTCCTTCCCCAAGGAATAAAAGGCAACCTCCATATCAGAAATAAACAGCGAGTCACCAAAGCTGCAGACAGTTTTTCTTCTAAGTGGATGATTTTCAAATAATTAATTGGTTCAGTCATATGCTGTGTACTCTAGTCCTTAGATGTGTCCTGATTTTTGCATGTCTCCTGGCAAGGTTTTTTGCACATGATCCTTGAAACAAATTTCAAAGATATCAATTTTTTGCAGTGACATTACTCAGTTTGGCAGCCATTCGTTCCATGCTTGATGTTGAAAATGATCATTTATAAGCTGTTTGCCGGCCTAACATAAATAATGTAGACTTGCAGTGTTCCTCTTGCAAATCTGGCATGAGGTGGACAACATGGTATTAGTACAGCATTGTATACTTGTCTAATGTGTGTTTGCTCACGTGCAAAGAAAAAAAAACATAGGTAGTAATCGTAAGAAAATTTCCACAAAAATGTGTTTTAAATAGGATTGCTGTTTTGTTAAGTGATTACAAACCATCTGGGTTTTCTAATCTACTTTTCTGCTTTAGCAGGTGAATGGATTCTATTCTGTGAAACCTAAAATCGTTTCCTCCTGCAGTATTTATATGTAACAGTAATGTAATGTTGGTGCTATGGTAGTTCCTAGAAGCCCCAACTGGGGCATTGGAATCATTGCCCCGTTGTATTAGACGCTCTATACATATATACACATACTATATAAAACTAGTTTGTGCCCCAAAGAGCTTACAATCTAATACATGACAAAAAGTAACAGATGGATATAACAAACAGTCAGGGGAGCACAAGCTAACAGTGAGACACTTATGATTAGAATAATAAGCAATAGTCAGCAGCTGCTTAGTTATTGTCAAGTGCTTTGTAGGCATCATGGCAGAGGTTAATAGAGGCTAATGTAGCAGCCTCTATTGGAGATATTCAAGGAGCTCTTCCCTTTCATAATGGCTAGCATGGGAGCAATGTCAGTTTGAAAAGAGAAACACGTACAATGTGTGGATGTATGGCTCTAAAATTAGCAAGTTTACCCTCTTCCAGTTTAGAACAGGGGTGCTCAACCCACAGGCCACATCCAGCCTATGGCCCCATGTCCTCCAGCCCACAGGGCTCTTCATAGCTCCAGAAATTTGGTAGCAGGGGAGTAGAGACATTGCTCCACTACGGTTATATTTTCTGGGCCTGGTGTGGATCTCCAGGCTCTGCACACTTGTTTGGGTACATGATCCAAGCATGTAAGTGGGGGGAGGGGAATGCCAGGCCTCAGGGACTAATCCCAGTATGCTGGGGCTGGAGGGGGGTCCCAGGGCAGGGGGACTAAACCTGGTAGGGGAGTGCAGTGTTACGCTCCCAGGGACCAGTGCTGGCACGCTGGGGTGGGAGGGAGCAGCACTGGGCTAGTCCCTGGGAACCAATTCTGGCAAGTGGGGCAGAAGCAGGCAATGCCAGTCCCCCAGGGACCAATCCCTGTGTGAGGAGGCAGCAGCGGGTGGTGCTGGGAGGCCCGATCCTGGCATGTAGGGCTTGATTTGGCCCACAGACCAGCCTGGTCCCACTCATCTGGTCTGCAGGGCCAAAAGGCTGAGCACCACCGGTTTAGAAGGTGTTTGGGGTACCAGCACCTGGTCTGATGAAAGCGTGCAATTTGTGTCCATATCAAAGAAAAAATTAATACCGTATGTAGTTGTTTAGAAGACAAGGTTTCTTCCTCTTTTTTGACATTGTGGGGAAAAAGCCCCTCACCTCATAATTGAGTACGAGATGGCAAGAATGGAGGCAGTTACCTGCTGTCCCCCTCCCTCCAGTTCTGACTCTGGCTCTGTCTCAGTTCCCAACCTGGGGGGACGGTCAGAGCTGAAGCAGCAGCTGCTGCCTTTCCTCTGCTGGCTATGTACCACCAGCCACTCTCCTCTGCAGCCTCAAACCACCACTGCCCCCACTCTCCCCCAACCCATGCTGCTTCTTCCTCTCTGCCATCCTCCTCCTTACCTTTGCTCCATGCTGGCATGTTCCATAGTTTCATAGTAGCTAGGGTCAGGAGGGACCTGAACAGATCATCTCCCCGGACACCCTGCCACAGGCAGGAATGAATGCTGTGCTCACAAGACCCCAGGCAGGTGATCATCCAACCTTCTCTTGAATTTGCCCAAGGTAGGGGCGAAGACCACTTCCCTGGGAAGTTGGTTCCAGATTTTGGCCACCCTAACTGTAAAATATTGCCTTCTGATCTCTAACCTACACCTTTTCTCCATCAGCTTATTACCATTGTTCCTCATCACCCCAGGTGGTGCTGTGGAGAAAAGGGCTCTACCTATTTGGTGTTGATCTCCCCTTATGAGTTTGTAGGCAGCCACCAGGTCCCCCCTCAGCCTCCTCTTGCTGAGGCTGAACAGGTTCAGGTCCCTCAATCTCTCCTCGTAGGACCTGTCCTGCTGCCCTCTCACCAAGCGGGTGGCCCTCCTCTGAACCCTCTCCAGGCTGGCTACTTCCCTTTTGAAGTGCGGCGCCCAGTACTGGATGCAGTACTCCAACTGCGGCCTGACCAAAGTCCCATTCCATCCTTGCTGCAGCCTGGAGCATGCAGCATGTGCTCCAGTCTGACCTTGTAGCAGTACTGCCAGCTCTGTGCCATCCCTGCTGCAGAGCTACTGTTCCTTGCCATTTGCCTTAGCATGTATCCCCCTATTGCTCCCTCCAATGTCTGTCCCCCTGGGGCAGCCCCATTACTATCTCTGCCATCACCTCTCCCCACACTGCCTGCAGTAGTGGCGGGGGAGGGCAGGTACAAATTCAAGATGATCCACCAATAATTAGAGTCCATGCTTGGAAAATTATAATACATTTTCTGTGTATGCAATCTAATTATTGGGGGGTCATTTTGTATGCAGGTGAATACAGTATTTCTTCTCTCCTTCCAGGTCCTACCACTCTCTCTTACCATAGTGCCTCAGCATTCCCCCTGCATCCTGATAATTATTTTATGGATTCAAAGGATTTGTGGTTGGTTAGTTGTTCCAAAAGATACTCTGATGCTTTTGCTAAGTCATAGATTCATAGATGTAGGCTTGGAAGGGACCTTGTAGATCTTCTAGTCCGACCCCCTGCCATGGGCAGGAGAGAGAATTGGGCTCTAATGACCCCAGCCAGGTAAATGTCGAGTCTCCTCTTAAAGACCCCCAGGGTAGGAGCCATCACCACTTCCCTTGGAAGTTGGTTCCAGATCCTAGCCGCCCTGACTGTGAAGTAGTGCCTTCTAATGTCTAATCTAAACCTACTCTCTAGCAACTTATGTTCGTTATTCCTTGTTACTCCAGGCGGCGCTCGGGGGAACAAGGTCTCTCCCAAACCCTGCTGGTCCCCCCTAGTAAGTTTATAGACGGCCACCAGGTCCCCACCATAGCCTTCTCTTGCGAAGGCTGAACAGGTTAAGGACCCATAGCCTCTCCTCATAGGGTCTGCCCTGCTGTCCCCGGATCATGCGGGTGGCCCTCCTCTGCACCCTCTTGATGCTGTCCACATCCCTCCTGAAGTGCGGTGCCCAGAACTGGACACAGTACTCCAGCTGTGGCCTGACTAGTGTCACGTAGAGGGGGAGGATCACCTGAGTTAGAGTCCTGCTCATAAGTACTGTGAACATGCTTTGTGATCAGATCTCAGAAAACACCTTATCAGAAAATGACTTCAACGCTGTTGTCAAAAATACGTTAAGTACTGTGGTTACATGTTAAATTTATTATTCAGTGGTATTAGTAAACAGATTTTTTTTTTTTTCATAAAGGTATTGCTGTGCTTATGAGAAATGGAATGACTGGTCTAATAACAATGATTAGTATAAACCTGATTGCCCCAATAATGTTTTATTATTTCCCTAAGATATATCGATTGAAAGCTGTACTAAATTGAAGTCTCTTCATCTTAGTACAATCTGTTCTAACCCATAAATAACTTCAGGGAAAAAATGGCTTTGCAGCTCTTCCTGGGAAATCTTTTCTCTCAGCAGGCTTGTTACTCAGAACAGGTCTGCCAATGTGTCATTGCATTCTAGCATTGTGTACTCTCTTTCCCAGTTTCCCATTTTTGATCTCTGGTGCATTCATATGCGCCTGTAAGAGACCCACTCATTCAGTAATCAGAGAACAACCAGAGTTGACCCTGTCTTCTGCCCGAGTTCACTGGGACCTGGAAAGTCCAACACTGATTGCTGCAGAACTGTTCCTTTATGGCATACAGTTCTTTCTAGGGTTGATGCCTGAGAGGTATATTGCAAAAAAAATCAATAGTTACATGACTAGAGGTTCATCTGCTGCTTTCTGTGGCATAATCTTCAGTAGCTTTTATACCTCTAAGGAGAGATTGACTCTGGAAAAATCAGCAAGGAAGCTCTTTTGCCTCCTTTCATTTTAGCATAATGAAGTCTGAATGTATAGAACTGAATGTGATAAATCCAAGTA